TTGCTTTTTTGCGGTTGGGATACCTGCCATTATAAGACATGACGCTGTGCGAAAACTTAGAACCATCCCTTGGAAAGGCCGAAGGCACCCTTGGGTTGGGAAAGGCTGTTCTGGAAAACATTGGCTCATTTAGATACAATTATGACATAGAAAATACTTACAAGAGCCAGTAAAGAAGCTTCCTCTGGAAGTTAAGGCTGATGGATGCATTACTAATGTCCAACACCAGTTGTTTGTGCGGCTGAAACAAAAGGTCGGATTGCGAGAGCTGCAAGTGTGTGACACGAACGCTGAAAAAGATCAAAGTGATTCACACTCATTACATTGATCAATATATATAATACTGTATATAAAGATTTGTGATCCAAGGTATGTGGGCCGTAGCTTTACTTGGCATCTCCATCAAAATACGTCCACAAGGTTTGTTGTTTGGAACTGTCTAGTGTTGGAAATTGCCAAGAGGGCCATAAAGAAAAAGAGCTCATTTGTTCTCGGCATAATCTAAATGTGGCCATACCCATTACAGCCTGATTGTGCAATCTCCACATAGTGCAAGGGCCTGTCTGATTGGATCCAAAATCAAAAGGATGTTGAGGAAGGCCCTCACATCTAAATTCCAGGTTCTACACCCAAACGGCAATGTGTCTAGCCAGAATTAACAATATCCAGTACCAACTCAACCAGTCTGACCTGCTTAAAAGATATACTGGGTGCAGAATGCTCAGGAGACCTTACCTCCAGGCGTCTGAAAAAACACAGAAAGGTTATTATATATGTTATATTATTTATTATATTATCGTATTATATGGCTATCCATGCTCTAGATTTAAAGAACTGTAGGCAGTGGAGTAACAATCACCATAGCGACCCAGGCGGCCGTTATGGGGCCCGGGGCACAGGGGGGTCCGGCCAGGACATCCCCCTGATGCCGTGCGGGCCGTCTGGGTCGCTATGGCATCTCAGGTTGCTGGCTGTCACTGGCGGCTGTGAGGAGGAACGCGCCACTATTCACATGTGCATGTTCAACCAGCAGCTTCGGAGGAGGTGGCTGGGCCCGTCGTCGGCAGCCATGGATGAGGCGGAGCCCAGGATCGAGGAGGTGGGGCTTAGCGATGGGGGAGGCAGGGAATGGCGATCGAGCAGGTGGGGCCCAGTGGCGGAGGAGGCAGGGCCCTCAAGCGAACGTGGAGGAGATGGAGGTGGACAGATGATAGGGGCTGACAGGTAAGAGGGCTTGCCCGCCCACCTGAGACCCCGCAGAGCCCACCATAGAGAGTCTATTTTATTCTGCACGGAGTTGTTCTTTAACATAGCCAGCTTCCTTTACCATATTTCCCTTTAATATGGGTCTGGGTCCTTGTCAACAATGGTGGCTAATGGCATATACCAAAATATACAGTACATTAACCCTATATATTTCTCTTTGCAACATGCCCTGGTTAGGGTACCTTCACACATGCCTGCACACTAAAATGCACACCACTAGCATTGTGTTGTTAACAGGGCACATATAAAAAAATTCTGGGTGCCCTTGTGGTGACTGGCATTGATCCGGTGTGGAAAATGCCAGTCACCGCACATCATTTGAATGCACCCTTAATCATGGGACAAAATAGACCAGGGCAGCCAAACTTCAGCCTCTGGGAGTCATGCCTGTGGTTGTCACAGTCTTTCAATGCCTCATGGTACTATTTCCACACAAGCTGGAGGGTCAAAGTTTGGCTACCCCTGATATAGACCATGCTGCCTAATCTACCATGCAGAACATCCAAACACCCCCTAATATGTATGAGCTATATTAGTCAAAGCTCCATCCCCTTGGCTGTTGTAAGTCCAGGACAGCTGGTTAGTATACCTACATACATACATACTCACTTGTTGATGCTGTAGGAGAATTTCCCCTCAGTGCCAGTCAAATCCGGGATGGTGATATTCTCCAGCTCCTGTTCCACAAACTTCAGGCTCTCCTGTTTTACTAAATGTAAGAAATACCAAGTCATTCTCTGCTCGTAAAATGTAAATCAAATATAATGCATATCCTAAGTGGACTTGAACTCAAGAGAAATGTTCATTTGTCTTGGTATGTAAGTTTGTGTAGGCGCTCCTGTGTTTACAGCTTCATAGCTGCATATCTGCAGTGTGAGATCTCAGGCACTGCTTCCTATGATTGCTAGTCTTAGGAGAATCGGGGTGAGATTTGCTGATGTCACTATCGCTGCTCACTATTCTCCTTGCTGGAGGCTCTGAGATGATGAACAAAGCTCTGTCTCTACCAAGATGGCCTCCTCCACACAGAGGCACAGTACAGAATAAGACACTCCACTGCTGCTAATGACATGGACAATCACTATTTTATTCACTGGCTAAGACTTATTTGCCCAGGAGCTTTGCTGTGCTTAATTAGACACTTTTGAGTGTATTTATAAACACTTCACAGAGCCATTTGCCCTTCAAATCTCTGTGAGTGTTCGTCCTGTGCAAATAGAGGCAGAAATGAATGTTCTTCGTATATTTCCTTTTCCGGTCGAAAGTAACATCTGGAAAATACCACATTATGCCCACTAGACAGAGCAGGGGAGCATAAGAAATATGTATTTCCTTTGCTCCTCAGCTCCACCTAGTGGCCTATCATTAACATACAATTCAGAACACAAGCCCTGGCATCTTTTACCCTTTGTTAGGACAGACAGTGTCCAAAACAAGTTTGCAACTAATAATGAGATATGCTAGCACAGTACAGACAGGGTAAATTATGGTAAACATTAACTCCACAGCCCTCGCCATAACATTACATAGAAGGGGTAAAATGAAGCCCCAGATGGCAGTAAAACCCTCACAGGGTTTCTAGACCTTTGCACTCTAAGACCTGGTTCACACCTGTGAGTTTGCGGAAATGCGCACAAACGCAAAATGCGCTTTGGTGCCATTATTTTCTGATGGCACCGCAAACTTGTCCAGCAAGTCGCACGGTTTTCCACGCATGCCAACGTGCACAAACGCAGCAGAAAAATGCACCCTGGACGTCAGGCAGAACAGTGCACTGGCCTTTTTGCCGCTCGTATATGACCACATTGAAATTGCGAAAGGCAAACACAGCATCGGGACGCGCAGGTGTGAACCAGGCCTTATACTTATAAGTACTAAATACTCAATAATACTAAAATCTAATACTAGGGGGGAAAAAAGTTTGACTGGACATACACTTTAAAGAAAAGTGATTTATATATTTATAAATACACAGTATACACGGTATAAGTCAAAGTCAAAGGGGGGAATGTTTCAAAACTGGAACAGACAGCATATGGGGCAGTTGCCCATAGCAACCAATCAGCTTCTATCTCTCATTTTCCAAGCTTAACTGAACAAACTGAAGAGAGAAGCTGATTGGTTGCCACGGGCAACTGCTCCAGATTCTGTCTGCTCCAGTTTTGATACATTTCCCCCCAACGTTTCCCAGAGTTGATGTTGTCTGTGGTTAATTTCGAGGAGCTCAACCTGCTGCAATGAGTCCATGAACATCTGTTTTTCAGCAGGGCCAGAGGAGCTACAGAGGATGGGAGCGTATCATCTGTTGATTTTACTTTTCCAAATCCTGTTTTCAGTTAAAAAATCCTTTACATGCCACATGGATAACAAATGTGGAAAAAAAATATCTGACTGGGTTATGATAGTATTAGGGAGGATGTCAAACATCTCTCTAGGCTACTTGTAATGACCATGGATTTCTGTCATTGCACAATTCTATGCACCTCATTTTAAAGGAGAGCTCCAGCCATCAATAACATGATAAAAATGTATAGCCCTTTAAATGTGAAATACAAAAATGACAGCTTTTGTGGCAAGATAAACTTTTAGTCCAGAGCTCTTCCTCACAGTGCTTTTTTGGCACCACAAGATGCCCTAAGTCTGTTGGCCAGCATCATTCAATCCACTTCCTCTGAGCTCAACCTGTCCTGGACCCACCCCCAGCCCGTGACTGTAACGTGAAAGGAGAAACAGCAAAGCTATGAGCAAATTAACTGATTATCTACTTCTGCTGTGACTGGTTGCCAATTGCAGGATGGGACGCCGGCCAAAGCGCCCCAGGTTGCTATGAGCAAGACAGGGAGATGTGTAAGGGCCATACACATCTCCCCGCCTGTTTCTTAGCAACCAGAGCGGGTGGGGACATGTGTATGCAGGAGGGACGCCGGCCATAGCGTCCAAGATTGCTAAGAGTTGGGTGGAGAGATGTGTATGGCCCCTAGACATCTCCCTGCCCAGTTCTTAGGAAACTGGGATGCTCTGGCCGGTGTCCCACCCATCTCCTAGTAACCAGTGATGCCATTGGTTTTCAGGAGCTGGGCTGGACACAATTTGTTGTAGATACGCCTCTGCCAGCTTTACTGTTGCTGTCTGCAAGCAGGGCCGGATTTACTTTCTCTGCTGCCCCAATGCCAGGTTTCTCAATGCGCCCCCCTTATGCCGGCTGCATACATGTGATCTCTGCGGCATCGCCGAGATCACTTGTACAAAACAAGCAGCAGCTTCCCCGCTGTACATTTAGCCCTGCTTGCCCAAAGCAGGGCTAAATGCAGAAAACTACTACCTGCCCGGCGCACGGAACTGCATGGCCCGGGCATTGGGAGATAGGAATTCCACACCCCTGCTGCCCCTCTACTCCCTGCTGCCCCAAGTCCAGGCCTCGGTTGGCCTTGTGGGAAATGCGGCCCTGCCTGCAAGTGAGAATCATTCAACATTGCTGAGGATCGTGTAAGAATCTGATCATTCAGTTCCAAAAGATCATTCAATTATATTTTATTTATTTTTGTCTTCCGACTGAGCTCAATAGTCGTGTCTTTTTTCAACCTGATTCTGTAACTATTTTAGATCTCTACAACTAGGACAGTGTCCAGAACATTACAGCTTTATCATACTCTACTCACCAAACTGCAGCCCCTTGGATGTGATCCTGATCCTGCAACCGGAATTCTGGGAGGACTTTGATGCCACAAATGGCAGGACAAGTAACAGGAAGTACACAGATATTGAAGCCATTCTTCTCTACAATATAGAAAGATACAATTACACAGGAAATGAATTGTTAAATAACCCATGGTATGTAAGTGTATATATACATTCATTTGTTTTAGGATCAAGTAGGGAATGGTTTAAACCTCTGCCAATTATTTTCTTTGGCTATCTGTGCCCCATATGAGAGATTTCCCCTTACATCCTGTCCAGTAGACACATCAGGAAGCAAGAGGAAAGCTCTCAATGTGAAGGAAAAGAAAAGAAAGTGCACAACCTAGTGCAATAAAAAAACTTTTCTCTCATTTAGCCCCTGGGCCTGGATGAGAAAAACCTTAATGTTTATATATGGCCAGCTAAAGGGGAATTCACACATTTTAGAGTTGTCCCCAGACTAGGAGGTGAGGGTACAAAACACAGCAGGGACTGGTTGAATGTTCTAGTGACAAAAGACTTAGACTGGAATTCACTTCTCTTAGATGAGATTTCCTATTTTTCCATCTCCAGGACAGCAAGTGCCCATGCGACAGGGTGACAATGAAAGAGGACAATTATGAGTCAAAGCATTTTTACCCTGTAACAGGAAATAAATGAAATGGACCTTAATAGCAGGATCGCCAGGCATTATTTTAAAGTAGTATTAAACTCTCAAACTTTTTTCCAAAACTTAATTCAGATCAAATATACATTGCCCAGCAAAGTTTTTATTTTTGCCTAAGCACTTACAGTCATCATGTTTCCAAACAGCTCCAACTCTTTCAGCTCAGCTTCCCTGAGCTCCCTGTCAAATACAAGATCACAAGGAGCAGAGTGGTCTGCAGAAGCAGTCCATCTATTATCTTCGAGAAGGGAGAAGGGGAGAGCAGGAAGCATGGGAGTGTTTTGCCTCGCTATGTGTCAGAAACCGTTTGTTACTGCGCGTGCACAGAGTCCCATTTTCCATACCATTTTAAAAGTGGCACCTGCACGCATGCGCGCGTGCCATGGACCGGCCGCGAAAAAGCACGCCAGTCGGCACACAGGAAGTGACACAATTGGCTAATGGATTTCTCTATTTAAGCTCAGCCTGCTTGTCTCCAAATTGCTGGATTGTCTTTCAGCTCCCCTGTGTTCCTTGCTTTGTATTGCCAGACTTCTGATTTGCTATTTGACTATTCTTGTTTGCTGCCTGCCCTTGACCTTGGATCATTTACTGGACTTTGCCTCTGCCTCATCCTTTTGTACCTTGCCTGCCCGATTGGTGTGACCTTGATTACGGATCTTGCCCTGCCTTGCAACCAGCACCTGGACTCCAGCTTGCACGGTGTTATCACCACTGGCACCCGTGCCACTCGCTGTCTGCTTGGACTCTGTCCCCAACTCTTGAGTCCTCGGGACACTAGGTGCAAGAGAGGCCTCCTCACACATTCAGTCTCCAACCAGGTAAGTGACACTATGTCTATGTGTTGGTGACTGGCCCGATATCCTGTTTTAAGGTGGCTCCATAGTCCCCTGCAAGGGATATCAGGGCCAGTGCTCAAGGGAGGAGCTGATTCTGCAGGAAACTAAAACTTTTAAATGTCAAGAAGCAGCATCCATTGTAAGTGATTCCATCAGTATCTGAAATACTTTAAAACATTTTTGACTTTAATATCACTTTAATAGAAGCTGACATTTGAAACAAATGTAACATTTGTTTTGAAATTACATGAACATGAAAAACTTCTGTGAGATTTTAGTGATTGGGTTCACATCTGCTTCAAGAATTTCAACATCCAGGCTGTTTTCCTGTCGTCCCACCACTATAACTGTGATGTCATGACCCAGTACCAGACGCAAGCCCTTATTGTTCCTCCATTCACCTTTATCATTGATGTTAATTCAGCAAATGTGGTTACTGTCAGTAAACAAGTGTCATTAACAGATGTTCGGTTGTTGTGATCTGAAGTAACCCTCTTGAAAAACAAACCTGATTGTTGCACAATAAGCACATATAAAACTGAATCATCCATTCTCATGGATTGTCTTTGATAACCGTCTGCAGACGACTATGTGTAGAGTTTACTGGCATGCTATCCCTCTCCAGAGCTCCGTCATATAATAGTGAGGTCTCTAGGGAGAACATCACACACATACAGCTGGCAACCTTGTCTGCTCCCATCCCTGTTATTAAGTATACAAAGTAAATGTGGGCAATCGCTGTCCACAACAGGGCGAGATGTTGGCTACACCCAGGGCACATACAGACTTTTTATAGACTTCAGTTCTTTTATATGGGATAAGAATAGAAATTGGCCATGGAGAGCCACACACAATAATTACCCAATTTTTTTTCTTTAGCCAAGACATGCATGCCTCCATTATCTCAGTAATGATGACTATGTTGGAAAATATGTCTACCCACAACTAGAAACTTGAATTTAACTATGTAGCAAAGAAAGAGATTACTTCTATACCTTAAAGCAGAACTCTGCGCAAATCAAATCTTAACCCTTGCAGTGGGGTTACCCCTGCACTGCAGGGGGTTAAGTGATGATTTTTGCCTGAGGAGGTAAAATAACAAAGTAATACTCACCCAAACTGCGATCCCAGCTGGGTCCTACACTGCTCCCTTCAGCCAGTCTCCTCTTGTGTCCCTCAGCATCCTCACGTTCTATACAATGTATAGAACACGATGACTCACAGGACCTGAGACCACTGGAGCAGAGGGGGAGAGAGGCTGAGGGGACTGAAGAGCAAGCCAGGATTGTGGTTCAGGTGAGTATAACTTTGTTATTTTCGATCCCTGGACAAAGCAAGCAGTTAACCCTTGCAGTGTGGGGGTAGCCCTACTGCAAGGGTTAAGATTTGAATTGCCCAATGTTCTGCTTTAAACTGGACATGCACTGTAAGATTTCCCCCAAGAGACATTTTTAGATTCCCTCATGCACGCTAAACAGTGTGGATAGAGAAATCCCTGGTGTTGGCTATTGTATTTAGCAGCAACTGCTGTGTACTGGATCAGCGTCCGTATCTGATTGGATGCAGGCACAGTTCAGCTTATAATTTTCTACCAGGCTCCTTTGACAAAGTCAATTTAAAAATCAAATTTTGTCAAACCAGGCTGTGCCAACAGGACCAACGCCAGCTCAAAATTCAGCTGATTCAGGGGGCCAGCTTTTTTTTCATAGGCATCCTCAAGCTGTAAGGGCCTTATCCCCCTTGTGCTCTTTTTTCTGCATTAAAGCACATACATTTTATTGCATGAAAATACATTTCAAGTACAAATCCCTTTTTTTCTATCTAGTTGGTTCACAATTGATATAATATAATATAATACAAATAGGATATAAATGCAATTCGTGTGCACCAAATGCTTTTGCAAACCCAGATAATACCATATAAAAGAAGCAGTGACATCATCACTGTGCTGTACATAGCCTGTTCAGAGAGCAAAGCTCTGGCAAGGGGCCCGCCCACTACAGGCTGTCTGCAGAAAGCTATAAAAAGGGTGGGTGGGAGGAAACAAGACCAGTCACCCTGCACAAAGAGAGAGCAGCAGTGACCGGTCTTTATTACATGAAGCTCCTGCACAGAGGTAAAGTTTCACGCAGGATTACTGCAGAGATCTGGAAGATTACACATGACCCTCATATTTAGACAATATTTGCTTATCCTGAAATCCAGCTTTAATAAATGCCCAACTGCATATTTTTGCTTTTAATATCGGCCTAGAGTTTACTTTTAACAAACCTTAGTAAATACTTTGTGACACAGAAATTAAGCAGCATAACAGCTTTGAAGACTGACTTTTTTGGTATGGCAAATATTTTTGCATGATGCATTATTTTTCCAGCCGGAAAAGTCATGAACAATATGTTTTGCTGTTCACAACTGGAGATATTATCTTAGTAAGGAACTCTTTGTTTTGTTCCTGGAGTAAAAACATTAAAAAAACACAAACAGTATATTCTTTGGGATAGAAGTCATTTGTCTGATGGTCTGCCAGCGTTGTTCGATGGCTGGGTGACGTCTGATTATGGCAGGGGGTCTTCTGCCCTTTCAGGTTTTTGTTTAAAAAGAAATAGGTTCTCGTACATTTTTCCAATATGTTAGTTTTCATGTCTTTCTTTGAGTATGTGTATAAAATGTGTTTGCTTGTATAAAATTCTAATAAAAATATATTAAACATAAACAAATAAAGTCCCTATGTAGAGACTAGTGATGCACTTGTCACATGCTTTGTTCTTCTATATACAGTCGACCCCCGCAAAGCCACGGTTCAGAGTTTGCGGCCTGAGTCGTTCGTGGATTTTTCCCATATAGGGGTAACATCGGTATTTTACATTCTAGCACTGCGGGAGACATAGTAGTACAGTACTGTACTGTATACGGGTTTATCTTTACATGCTTTTTTTTTTTTTTTTTTAAGGGTAATGTATTAACCTGAGTTTGAAATTAAATTAAAGTGTTTTGGGGGCATATTTAGGATTTAAACTATTAAAATAGGCATTTATAGGCATTTTATGACCACATTCCAAATTCACAGTTTTTCACAATTCGCGAGTGCTCTATGAACGTAACCCCTGCGAATTTCGGGTGTCCACTGTATTGATACTCTTGTAGGAATTTTCTTTACAATACATTACTCATATTAAAATTGTAAAAAAACAAAGATGTTCATTTAACCCAGTCATATTTTGCCCTCTAAAACACTTCAGAAGGGCAATTGAATTAATGGATTAATCATAATGTATTCTAAATGATAAAATATAAGAGCAGATGGTTCACGGTTGACCTACTTCTCAACTGATATAACAGTATTCAACTATCCCTTAAGCTCCCTGTCAATCTGTTATAAGCTTTGGCCAACACCAAGGCAGTCATTGGTATGAATATGTGGTGTACAGTTTACATTTGGAGAAAAGGGGAATTACAGGCACAAAAAAAGCCCTGTCTGCTACAAATCCTCTCCCCTAGATACTCAAACTCACATTTTTTAAAGTCAATTAAAGGAAACCTGTCTTTAAATATGCAAATTTGTAGGTCAGTTGACCTTGCCCTAGCTTCATATTTCTTAAAGGT